AAAAAAAAAAAAACGTAAGGGGTAACACTGTCGTTTTTTTTTTTGGGTCGAAAGTTTGAGTTTTCGATATCTCAATCAATCAATCAATCAATTTTTTATTTATATAGCGCTTTACAACAACCATACGTTGATCAAAGCGCTGGACAGAGAAAAAGAAACAACAACAACATTAAACACAATACAAAAAAAAAAAAAAAAAAAAGAGAAAAAACTGAGAAAAATGGAATTTTGTTTTATTTACGATCACTGAGAAAAGCTCTATTATTTAAAAAGCAAAAAAAAATTTTTTTATTATTTTCAAGGTGAAAAGGATTCATTTGCCTGGATCCACGCCGAAGAAAACGTCTAAATGTCACATTTTTAATGAAGCAGCCTAAATATTCCACTTTGGAAAATGTGTAGATGTCACGGTTTAACCCCCTCAAACGTGAAACTTACACGTTTGCGTTAACACGCTCCAATGGAGAGATATCCAGATGTTTATTCGCCTCTGCCATAACGATAGATATATACGCTAGACCTCACCTTGGGGGTCTAAGCATGCGTCAAAACCGCCGCCATCTTGGAATAGGGGTCTTGTCATAGGAAGTAGCAAGGTAATGCTGCTATCTCTGCCTTTACTTCAAATTCATTGATGGTGGCGGACTTTTGTGCAGCGTATGATGTTCACGGATTAAATCTGAACTAGAAAGAATGGTTTAAAAAAAAAAAAAAAAAAAATTCTTTCTGGAATCAATGATAAATACATGTCTGACCGTTGGAACAAACCAAAAAAAAACAAGAAAAATCGCATTCATTATGATTTATGGTGATTTACTGTGTCTACTACATTGACGCTGATGCATTAAAGTGGAGGGGCTCCCCTGTTTCAAGATGGCGGCTCTATTGACGCATTCGTTCCAATGAACTTCTGTAGCCAAGGTGAGGTCTAGTGTATATGTCTATGTGCCATAACGACCTATCGGTTTTCATTAAACCGAGAAAAATGGAATTTTGTTTTATTTACGATCACTGAGAAAAAAAAGTGCATCTATCCATCATAAAAGTGCATCTGTCCATCATAAAAGTGCATCTATCCATCATAAAAGTGCATCTGTCCATCATAAATGTGCATCTGTCCATCATAAAAGTGCATCTATCCATCACAAAAGTGCATCTGTCCATCATAAAAGTGCATCTATCCATCACATAAGTGCATCTGTCCATCATAAAAGTGCATCTGTCCATCATAAAAGTGCATCTATCCATCATAAAAGTGCATCTGTCCATCATAAAAGTGCATCTGTCCATCATAAAAGTGCACTCCTCCCAGGCCCGAGTTTTTGCCTCCACAACCACCCGGGCTGCAGTCCGCTTGGCCTGCCGGTATCAGTCAGCTGCCTCAGGAGTTCCACAAGCCAGCCAGGCCCCATAGGCCTCCTTCTTCAGCTTGACGGCATACTTTACTTCCTGTGTCCACCACCGGGTTCGGGGATTGCCGCCTCGATGGGCACCGGAGACCTTACGGCTGCAACTCTGAGCAGCCGCTTCGACAATGTAGGTGGAGAACATGGTCCACTCGGACTCAATATCTACAGCCTCCCTCGGGATCTGGTCGAGGCTCCTCCAGAGGTGGGAGTTGAAGATCTCTGCCAAACGTTTCCAGCAGACCCTTACAGTACGCTTGGGTCCGCCGAGTCTGTTTAGATTCCTCTCCCGCCATCTGATCCAACTCACCACCAGGTTGTGATCTGTTGACAGCTCTGCCCCTCTCTTCACCCAAGTGTCCAAGACATATGGCTGCAGTCAGATGAAACGACCACAAAGTCGATCATCGACCTACGCCCTAGGGTGTTCAGGTGCTGCATGCACTGATGGACACCCTTTTGCTTGAAGATGGTGTTCGTTGTGGACAAACTGTGACTAGCACAGAAGTCCAATAACTAAACACTACTCGGGTTCAGGTCAGGGGGGCCATTCTGTCCCTAGAGCTAGTTTCCATGTCCAGGGATCGGGTTGTTGAGGCCCCCGCCTTCGACTGCCGCCCGATCCTCTCAGCACAGGCCCCTTACGGTCCTTCCTGAAGGTGGTGAGCCCACGGGAAGGAGGCCCCACGTTGCTTCTTCGGACTGAGCCCTGCCGGACACCGTGTGGGAGGCCCTGCCACCAGGCGCTCACATGCTGGCTCCAAGGTGGGGCCCCGGCTGTCCTTGTTTTCACTTCACTCATAAGGTTTTTTGAACCGTTCATGGTCTGACCCGTCGCCTAGGACCGGTTTGCCTTGGGAGACCCTACCAGGGGCATATAGCCCCGGACAACATAGCTCATAGGGTCGTTCGGGTACTCAAACCCCTCCACCACGTTAAGGTGGCAGTGCAAGGAGGGGTTGATTAGAATCACTTTTTTTCTATTTCAGTTTATTCTAATGGGGATTTGTTATACCCTATATGAAGAGTTCAGATGCAAAAGCCTCGAAGTGCCATTTGAAATTTTCTTCTAAAATTATCATTTTTTATCAAGCTTGTATATTTAAGTTCAGTAATTTCACTTAAATGACAATGAAGATTACCTATTAATGGTCATTTAAGTGAAATTACTGAACTTAAATACACAAGCTTGATAAAAAATGGTCATTCTAGAACCAAATTTCAAATGGCACTTAGAGGCTTTTGCATCTGAACTCTTCATATATACATTACACATACAGTATTTGAATATATGAGTGGTTTTCTGTTTTGTTTCAATAAATATAACACCAATATAATGGTTTGAATAGTATCTACTTATTATGGGAGATGTTCATTTGGACCAACATGTTTCAGGTGGGGATCATCAACATTTGCTTCTTAGACATCATAAAGACCGTAAAAGTACAAAAGTTAGAAAACATATATCAATAGGGTCCTGAGGACAGGAGTTCCAGTGATCCAATGTCACAATTTATTTGTACATTTTTTGGTGTTCATTTGAGTGTTTATGCACTATACATCATCTAATCATGACTTGATGATGAATTTAGGGTCTCAGGTATATCTACCATAAGGGAGCGCGTCTTTTTCCACTCGTAGAGTGGGAGCATTCGTGGAATTTCCAGAGAGTTGGGGGCATCAAATTCAGGTTTGACCTCCTGTATCATGATCCCACCGGTCCAGTTCACCACATTTGAGCCATGAATGTTTGTTGTTATTTTGTTCAGATTGTCCCACTCGAGATGAAACACATTCCCTCTAGGGTGACCACCCATCCCGCGTAGCGCGTGCGCGCACAGCGTTTGAAGCCCAATTCATGCATCCCGCAAATTGAGACCGTGTCACGCATAATCAATGCTTGCTGAAAAAAAAAAAAAAAAAAGTCGGTCAGTCTATATCCTCGAGACCCAGGCAGCCAAACCTAGTGCCTGAACACGTTCACGTTCATGAACTCGTTCATATTTTGGGTGAACTGAACGTATTGTTTTACTGCCTGTCCTGATGAACGTGGGAACTCGTTCACTCTGGTGTCTGTGAACGCACGCTCTCTCAGTTTAACTTCGTTCAATGGGGTGCCAGATTTCTATAGAGCCTTCCAGGTGAAAACCCGGCTAAAACTCACCGTAAACAGGGCTTAATATGTAGCGAAAAAACACCCAATCTGGCAACACAAGCCACCAGTGTTGCACCGCGGCTAGGGCTGTCGCGATAACCGCAATATTGCAGTACCGCGCTTCTGACAGGTCAACCGCAGAGGATTGCACGTAACCGCAGCAACCGCGATATTCACGTTTTTTTTTTATAAGGCTTCTTCTTGTTTTGAACTTCATGCATGTGTATTGAATGCTAAACAAGTTCATAATGATAACAACAAGACTGTTTATCTTAGTGATGTGTAGCCTACAGAGGTTTCACACAGACAGTGAATGAGAGAGATCTGCAGAGCGCGTGCGATTACCTGCGTCTGTCTTTGAAGTCGTGAAAAGGTTGCCGTCAATGCCGTGTCAAAGGAAAGCGAAATATTTGTCGTATCATCAAGCTTCACGTCACGGGTATTTTCCACAAATGCGCGTCAGCAGCAGCGCTGGTCAGAATCCCACAGCGCGAGGAAGCCGCAGAAAATATTATCACAGAGTCACGCATTGAATCAATGCCATATTGGTCTCTAATAAGTGAAGCATCAGCTTCCGCGTTACCCATGCGACGCATTGCTGTTCAGCTGAGCCTTGAAAAGTGGAACAAAGTTAAAATCAAAGTTATAAATAATAACATCTTGTTTCATTACATCTCTTTTAACGAATCAGCTTCTTTGAACGTGTTCGTTGAATGAACGGTTCAAAGTCCGTTGTCATAACAATATGCGCGCTGAGTGAAAGCCTTTCAATCATGCTTTCAATGCGCATATAGACGCTGTTTAGTTTCGGTTATTGGTTAAATGACCTCGTTTTTGTCCACATCGTAAACTTTATTTATATAGCAACAAATATTTATAAATTAAATAAATAAATAAATGGCGGTAATACCGCATATCGCGCTATTGAGCCACTCAACATTACCGCAAGGGAAATTCCATAACCGCGACAGCCCTAACCGCGGCCGCCGTCGACAAAGGCGTCGTATGATAATTTAAACGGATTTTATAACGAGGTCGGTGAAAATGGGAAAAATCGTACATTTCTGTGCAAACTTTGAACTGAACTAGTTCATTTTAAAATGTGTGAACTGAACTTTGAACTAGTTCATGTAGAAAGTGAACTTCCCCAAGACTGGTTGCCACTCCCACGTGACCTGCTGACTAGGTTGATGTCAACTTTTTCATTGGTGTCATGACAGCACACCTTGTTGTTCCGTGAACCTCTGGAGTTGTGAGTTTAGACTTTTTTTCGACTTTTTTTTAAAACTGTTCCTGTGGTGTTGAGCAACTATAATTCCCGTTAATCCTATAATTTTATATTTTTATTTATTTAAAGTGAATTAATTGTAATGAAAAATAAATAAAATTAAATAGCTAAAGTAAATTGTAAGTGGAAGTGCATCTGTCAATTCATTTAATGTTCAAAATATTCATCTTTATTTAGAAAAAAAAATACACATTGGTTGGCCTATCATGAGCATATATCAGCAATTACATATGTTTAGGGAATAGGGCATTAATGTATGTAAGGTACAGTATGTGCTTTTTTTTTTTTTTTTTGAACAATTATTCATGTACAAACAGTAAGGCAATAGTAACAGTTCTAGATATGGGTAAACCACTATCAGAGTCTGCCCGTGGGGTGGGGGCACCGCCGCGCCAAGCAGTGTCCCACATTGTCCCTCAGAAACATACCCCTTGTCCCCCCTTGGGCTTATTAGCAGGTGGTCACCCTAATTCCCTCACCAGTAGTAATAATAACAATAATGAAAGTATAATTAATTAATTATTAAGCATAAAAATGTTTTTTTCAACTTAACAGAAACCTGGAGAGACCATTATCTGCCAGTTAATGTGGGCTTCCATAACGCTAAATGCTCTTCACCAAGAAAGACCTTTCTAATTGTGTGTTGGTGCATGGTGTAGGCTATGTATTTGTGTAGTTAGTTTAAAAATGTATGTTAAATAAACCTCACATTACCAGTGAATCCTAATTACATGATGTGATTTTTAATTAATGTATATTTTTGAACACGTTGTATCTTAAAATGTATTATTTAATTAAAATATCTATGTTATATTTTTAATGTGCAACAAGTGAACATTGGGAACAAGCTCAACATGTGCTCAACAATAATTTACATAGCCAGTTATGAAAAATGGAGGAGATTTATCAAATCGAAAACTAAAGGAGAAAAACAGACTGCCTATAAATGTGCTTTTTTGGATATCCAGGGTGGCAACCAATATAGCCAGAAAATACATACATGTGACAATATTTCAGGTGGGGATCATCAACATTTGCTTCTTAGACATCCTAAAGACTGTAAAAATACAAAAGTTAGAAAACATATATCAGAAGGGTCCATAGGGGAGGAGTTCCAGTGATCCAATGATCCATTTTTTGACATTTTTTGGTGTTTATTTGAGTTTTTATGCACTATACATCATCTAACAATCCTCATATCTATCAATTCCTCATGCAAAGACGAAGAGAAAATGGGATAGATTGTGTCTGTAGGATCTATTGTTCAGATTCTATGTAGGTTTAAAGTTTTCATTTTCCGCAGCCAAAAATCAAGCACGGACACAAAAGATGATACAAAAAATCACATATGGGACAAAAATGTGCGCGGGGAACATCAAAATTCCTTTTCTAGACACCTTAAGGATTACAAAAAAATAGGTTAAAAAAATATATCTTTCGGGTGCAGGTGAACCCCCCCTTCCTACCCTACTAATGCGATATAAATGAGAGATTCACTGTGCAGTGCAGACAACTTCAGTGTTTATGACGAGAGTTTTAGGGAGAGTACAGAACGCGGTGATGGC